AGTGTTGCCAACTTACAAGAATCGCCAGGGGTCCATTTCCACAGATACCAGGCAAAATCCAGATGATTCCGCAACGCTGAGTCTGCTAAATTTGCGGTTCCTCAAAGCAGTGCGATCATGATCAGATCTTCGGCTTACGACGCTTCGGTACCGGGAAAACTCAACCCTAATTAACTTGGCGAGACAAGCGTGCCTTGTCTCCGAAGTTAAAATTGGCTCGAAGGTGTAGAAACGTGACGCGATTACTCGCTTCCGGCTAACGAACTCTGGAAATTTCGGTCTGGTTCGGGGAAAAGGATTACAACCGCTGTTGTCAACTGGCTGCGGTTTTTACGATAGTCTAATATTCGCGGTTAAACGGAGGGAATTCCGCGAAAATTAAATACTTGACGCAACTAATTTCATCCGGTGTTGTTTCCCTCGAAGGATGTTTCCGTCTTTATCCTACCGGTCCCCGCCCCCGAGGGATTCCGCCCCCACTTCGCGACGCCCCTTCATTTCGTCAGTTAGGCCAAAAACACTCGCCTTGATGGATGTTTACATCCGCTGAACATGTAACTTTCAAGAACGTATTTTTTTCAGGTTATTACAGTAAAAGCTCGTTAAGACGAAATACGGCTAAGACGAAAATCCGCTTAAGACGAAATTTTTTTCGGTCCCTTGACACTTCCATAAGAGTCAATGTAAAAAAAATACGGATAAGACGAAATTTCGAAATTTTGACCCGTAACCAAAGCCGGTTAAGACGAAGAAAAATTTCCGATTTTCCCCCCTGAAATTGGGTAAAAACGACAAAAAAGAGCCTATTCTTAGGGAAAATAGACTTAGTTTTACGTACCTTGACATAAAAAGAGTAGGTTGAGAGTAGATCGTGGGTATCCTCTGTTTTGCTGGATGACTGAGATGCAATCAACAGTTGACAGGAAACCGATTTGCGTATTTAAAAAAAATTCAAAATTTGGATTTCGTATTGTATAAAATTTAAAACTGAAAGATAATAATCTAAAATTTACGTTTTAAGCGCAGCTGCCGCTTATGCCGTAAAATTTCGTCTTAAGCGGAAAACGGTTAAGACAAAAAGCCGCTTATGACGAAATTTTTTTCGGTCCCTTTATTTTTCGTCTTAACGAGCTTTTGGTGTGTTATTAATATTAAGAATGGATTATAAATGTGTTATTTCCTATACCAATATATTAATATTCATTTTACAGCAGAACGACGAGCAAGAAAATTAACCTTCAAGGATTCTTAAAAGCCTCTGATTTTACGGTTTTCCCAACTTGCTACGGTCAAATGGGCGTATCCATGCTAAACGGAACTATGTGCAAGTGGTGTTGCTCGATTCGGCATTTCACCATTCACCATAACGAAACGCTTGAGATATTTCTCATTGAGTATCATTTGACGAAAGTAGTGTCAATAGAGAATTTTGCAGGTGTCTGAAATTTGATGAATTTCGTGTTTAAGTGAAAACCACTGAGTGAACTGCGAACACGAGGGTACCCTTTGTCCATGAATGAACAATTATTGGAGAAGATATGACAAATGATCTAATCTGCTAAAATACATGTGTTTAAATGGGAGATGCCGCTAGATGGCGTCACTAGGGAGTGTATTTTCTCACTTATAAATCTGTTTTTATACTATTTTCCGTATCAGAAAAAAAGTATAAAAAATTCTGTGAAATCGGCTCTTTAAGCACTTTCAGACGAAGCAATAAAAATTGGCATGCAAATTCTCCACAAAGCGCTTTATATTGGCTGAGCGCTTAGTATTCCTTGGCAGTCCTGGTAAAAATTGGCGATAAGAGCTGCGTTTCAAAATACCATAGGAATTCTTAAAGCCGGCTAAAAAAGGCTACAGAAAATCATACAGCTGGTTGTAGAATGCGGAGAAAATCATACGGCCGGGCTATACGAAGCGATAAAAAATTATGCAGCCGGGCTACAGTTCCTATAGCCGGGCTTTACACTTTATCGCCTGGTTGTTGCTTTTTCGCCATCGATTATAAAAGGCTGTAAGAAATTGTGTAGAAATTCGTGTGCTTTGGAAATCATTAAGTTTGATACGGAACCACCTTAATATTTACAAAACACACATTGTATTTTCCTTTAATACATATTTTTTTTCATGAATTAAAACGATAATAATCCATACAGGATGTGCAAACATTTCAAAATCATGAGTTGAATAACGCTAGCTCCGCCAGATTAAATATTAGAACCTAACACAAAGCGGAGCGGCGACGCACTGGCGCCTTCAAACCTAACAGGGATACTTCACGCATTGCGCAACGCGTGAAGTATCCCTGTTAGGTTTGTAGGCGCCAATCCGCGTTTCGCGCTGGCTTCCCGCCTGCCGCACCGCAACGTGCCACGCGGCGCTTGAAGCAACTATTTCACCACCAGAGGTATTGCACAGTATCATACGAAACTGAAGGCGCTCTAACATATTAGGAATGACAGGCATCCTTCAAAAGTACGGAGCTTTCCTCGCAAAATAAATCAAGATACTACGGCCCAAAAAGAGAGCAGTGATCCAAAAATTCACTAAGTCCTAGCATCCGTATTAGTAACGTTTAGCATACACTTTATTGCCTGACTGTGAGTTGCTTAATTTCGGCTATAAAAGGCTATAAGAAATTGTGTAGCCGGCTAAAGAAGCTATTGGAAATCTTACAGCCGGCCGTAGGTCTATGGTATTTTGGAACACAGATTCTACTGCCAATTTTTACCAGGGAGCAAGAAGCTCCTTTAAGTTTTAGTGTTGAGCGGGCCATCTGGCACACCCTACATCACCCGAATAAACGCTTTTGTTTATACACAAGCTCCGAACGTGGCGTGAATTGTCGATGATCGATATTTCCTCATCAGTAACTATGGTAAAGAATCGATTATTCAGGTGTCCACTGCGAACACCTTATTTATCCTTTTCCATAGGTTTAAATGGCAGATGAATCGATATATCGCAAAGCACGCCACGCCACAAAGCTCGGAGGGTTGCCGAAAAAGGCGCGAGGAAAATCGATAGCGGGGATTCCTTTAACCCCCGAGCCGGAACCACCCCTAACCCAATAACCTCGGAACCGTGGGCATAATAATGGGCGTTTAGTTAATGACGCTGCTCTAAGGATTCCCTCGTTGGCACCGCGGAACAGGGGAGGGGAGGGGTGGAGGGAGGCGGAAGGGGGGAGAAGGGTACAATGAGGGGCATTGATTAGCTTGAGCGGACAACTTTCCAGTGTCACGAGTGGTGAGCATCGTCGCGCTCGGAGATGGCTCGGCCCGAGATTAATTGATTTCGATAAGAGCTCGCCGCACGGTGGATCGAGTCGCCAGGAGAGGTCGGACAAAATTTGGAAACTTTAAACGCTTTTAACTCAGCTTATAAAGAACTTTGAGGTTCTGGAACTGGTCTCATTGGTTTTCTCGTGAAATTTTCTTCTTTAAGCACCCCTTACAATCACTGCTCCCATTCCATGTTCGTCAAAAGTTCCAAAAATCCAAGATCCGGAACATTTTGGGAATTTTATAAGTTCCGGGATTCCTTTTATATTTTCTTAAATGTTCCGAAAAATGCAGAAGATCCGGAATATTTCGGGAATTATATAAGTTCCGGTAGAGATTTAGAAAAATTACAGAAGTTCCGGGATTCCTTTTGATTATGTTCAAAAGTTCCGAGAAAGTTCCGGACAATGCAAAAGATCCGGAACATGTTGAGCATTATAAAAGTTTCGGGATTCGGAACTTTTTTTCCGATTTCTCCCATCCCATGACCGTCAAATGTTCCAAGATTGTGTTTAGATTTTTTCAAAAGTTCCGAGAAAGTTCCGGAAAATGCAAAAGATTCGAAACTCAATATGTGACGAAATGAACATCAATATTTGCAGTTTCAGTCAAAATTGTCATGTCCGACCTCTCTAATTGACCCGGTCCACTGTGCGCCGTCCTGATTAGCCCCAAGTCCGTTCAGTTCGACGCTCCTTTTAGGGGAAACGCGGTGGGGTCATCGGTGGTTGACGGAAAATTTACTGCGACTCATCGTCAATTTTACATCTTTTTAAAGTGAGGCAATTATTTAACTTCACTCTCGCTGGTGGGTTGGTTACCCTAGTCACTGAATCGTGTTCTGATTATTTAATCCTATAGACCAGGAAAAAACAAAAAGATTTCTTCAAACGCCGAGATTTTGCGTCCAATACGAAGAGAGAACAAGAGCCGCAATTTGATTGCGAGCCGTCGCTGATTGGCTGATCCGCTCAGTACCCACTTCCCGGTGTCCTTATGAAAAAAAGCATAGGGTTCATTTTTCATTGAAAATATCTCGAAAACAAGGACGCATCTTTGCGTCGAAGATTTCTAAAATCTCCAGATTTTTCTGAAGAGATCAATATATGAATTTTTTCTCTCAAACACACCGAACAGTTCGACCTGGAATTTTGTTTTTTCACGACTTTTAAGCGTCATATTTCAAGTTGACAAAACTAAATTCAGACAAAAAACAATGTGTTTGAGAAAAATAGTCATGTATTAATCTCTTCAGAACATTCTGGAGAATTGATTTTTGAAATCTCCGCCGCAAATATTTTTCCTTGTTTTCGAGATATTTTCAATGTAAACTGAACCCAGTGCCATTTTTCATAAGGACCCCAGAAAGTGGGCACCAAGCGGATCAGCCAATTAGAGACGACTCGTACAAGTAGCGGATGCCACCCATGGTATGCACTACTGTGGTGGATGACGTCGCAATACACCATATTTTTCAATGAACACCTGCTGAACCATCGTGTTTCTCGAAAAAATTCGCCAACGATTACAAAATCAAATCGTAAATCCCTGAAGCATGAAAAAGCTCCGTTAGAAACCTTGTAATTAGGATAATTCTCGATGTCTTCAGTTTTGAAACAGCGAACGTACTTTCATGTTTCTTAATACGTTAGATTACCATCAATCAGGATATTTTGAGTTTCATATGTGTTTTTTTTTTTGTTTTTGTTTCAGGCCTTGTTGAAGATTTCCTCGGCGTTTCTGAACAAAAAAATACCCAATATCCCAGACATCAAAACAGACGGCAGTGAAGAAAAATGGTTAGTATTTTTGACACTCCATGCATCATGATCTTTCATCTCTACTTTTATTTACAATGGAGATAGAGTCAGGTTCCTCCGACCATGCTAAGAAAGGAGCGCTCAAAGTCAACGTTTAAAAGTTGAAATGAATAAATTTTCAGATTTGATTTGAAAACAATTTTTAAATAGTCGTTTAATAAATTGATTTTGTAAAAAATTACCTTGTAAATGAAAACTAAATTTTTGGCACTAGTGATTTAAATTTTTCGAAATTGAGTATTATAAATACGTAAATTACTTATGAAACTTATAGCAAAAAAGAATTATATGGTTGGTTCGGTTTATTTCTTTATCAGGTGAATACGTTTATTTGTTTTGCTCACTTTTTATTCGTCGGTCCTGATTTTTTACTAAAAATCAGAACCGAAGAATAAAAAGTAAGTAAAACAAGTAAAGACTTATATGGAAAAATTTGAATTCCAAAAATACATAATATGCATGATATACGTAAATTAACCATAAACTCATATCCAAACAGAATTGAAAAGCGTAAATCGTGTGTTCAGTGTAATCGCATATTAAAATACAGACGAAATAAAATTTTCAATTTTAATGTCAAAATTAATTTAAGGTAAAACGAAAATTTTACATTTTTAATTGTTACGAAAAATATTCGTAACATTTTTTTACAAAATCAATTTATTCAACGACTAGATATTTAAAAATTGTTTTCAAATCAAATCTGAAAATTTATTCATTTCAACTTTGAATCAAATCAAGATAGTGATAAGATTAAGTTTAATAATTAGGCGTGTTTTCACTTTCTATGCCGTGCTGGCTAAGGAAGAACGCTGCCGTGCTAAGGAAAAGCGCCGTATGAACCTTCAGGCGTTGCCAAATATCCTTTGATAAAATGAGAATCCCCTGGTAAACTTATGAATATTTTTCTCCCAATTTTTCAGATAATTTTTTTCGTAATTTCGCCTAAAGTTCCTGAAAATATCAAGGAAAAATATTCGTAACTTTCCTCAAAAATAAACATTTTATCGAAGGGAATTTGGCAACTCTCGAATGTTCATACGGCCTTCTTCCTTAGCACGGCAGAACGATTCGGCAACTTATCTCGATCCCAGCACTCCAATAGCAACGCGACAAGGCTGAGCATGCAACTTCGTGCTTTATGGATGGCCGTCTTGCATACCCACTTATTTGAAGGCGTTTTTTCGCCCGCCGCGACAAGCGAGCAACGTGCTTTCACGAGTCAGACGAAATGTTCTTTCAAAGCGCAATGGAAGTTTTAGTACGAAATCAAATATTAAACGTTTAGTCCCCACACTGCCAGCGAAGTAGTTTCAAGAAACTACCGGGATCTTTCTTTATGCATTCAGCTCCTTTTGATGTATATATCGACGGTGAAACTACCAGACCACGTGTCTCGTTTGCGGTGTTCAAAAATCTCCGCTCCCATTTTTTTCTTTTGATGGAGAACAAATCAATTTCACTCCTCGAAATTTTCACAGAGTTTTCTTCGCACAGAGAAGAAAAATCACGGAAGTTTTCAAAAATTGATGTCCAGTAGTTTCCCATGTAAAAAACAAAGTATAAAAGGAAGTCTATAACGTCTCAAACCGAGATACGTGGTACAGTAGTTTCACACGTTTACCATCGATATCTAATTTAGACATGATCTGTTCGTTTTTTGTTTTTGTTTGTTTTTATAGAATACACTGAAAAAAATTAGTTAGCGTCAGATGACTAAAAATGGTTTCTATACACTAACTCAAATTGTGTGATTTGGACACACATGATTTTTGGTTTCTGTACACTAACCACTATTAGTGCTGGAAACTAATTCCGCTACTCTAATTCGCATTCGGTAGGGTTGGGTCAACCTAACCTCAAAACTGAGAGAGGAGAAAACGGCTTAGCGAATGATAACTGGACAATACTTTCAGGAAAAGAAGATTTCTTAAAAGATGAGAGGTAAAAATCAACTGACCGATTCCAAATGAACGACAGAGGAAAGGAATATCCCATAGGTATGTGCAAGTAGACAGAATTATCCTTTAGAGAGACACACACTCACACATGAAACGGTAGCGAATGTTCACACTGAATAAACATATCTCGTCCGAACACTTGAGATATTCTTTTGAAATTACGGGAGAACACGAACTATAGAAGTAAGCAGTAAGTTCACAGATTTTCGTAAAATATAAACTGAACGCGGAACGCTTTAATCGCAATTTAATACAGAAGATTGACGACTCCAACGAATATCATGCTTGTTTACGTTTTGAATCGAACAGACGATTTCTAACCTTAACAGGTTTATCTATGTTGCTTTCGAACGTTTTCAAGAAAGAGAGGACACTATAAATCATACCGGGAGTATTTACATTGTCAAACGAGCCCGAAATTTCACATTTTAATTGATTTTCACGAGCTGACGCGATTGAGGCTGTTGTACCGACGCCACTTTTTCGTACCTAAATAAATGTAACGGACAATGTGGCAGTTAGTGTTGAGGGCGAATTAGTTTGACCCGAAGGTGAATTTGTTTTACCACAGCGCTAATTTTACAGCTAGTGCTGTTTTCCAATTCTGGTTCGCGCTCTAGTAAAGTCAAGTCAGCGTATGAAGCGAATTGATTGGTGCTTCAGTACAATAAATTAGTTCTGAAGCCTAATTTTGATTCTACTTGGCGAGAACTTACCAAATTAGTTCTCAACGCTAACTACTTTTTTTTCAGTGTAGATAATTGAACAACTTTTAATTTAATCGCTTAAATATGTGTGTCTAGTTTTGTTCACTCTACTGAACCACTATCCTGCCGTGCTAAGGAAGAACGCCGTATGAACATTTCAGAGTTGCCAAATTTCCTGCGATAAAATGTTAATTTTGGAGGAAAATTGTGAATATTTTTCCTTGAAATTTTCAGACACTTTACGAGGGTCATCCAAAAAGTAAGTTTCCCTACCTTGTACCTTCCGAACGAAAATAGATAAATCAAATCGATAAAACTGCACATATTAGGTATATTCTAAGCTTTAAAACAAGCTTAAGTTTTTGAAAATCGGTCTAGGGGTTCGCGAGTAAACTTAATTTTACTGAGACAACCTCCTGTCGCCGCGTGCCCACCTCCGGGGTCAGGATGCGCGGAGAGTCGATTATAGAAGACTCGGGTTATCGCCTCTATACATCACATCAACAAGAAATGCAAAAGTTTTCATTGAGTAACTACCTTACTAGTAGTTAGCAGTAGTTACCTTACTTTTTGACGTAGTCTCCACATCTTCTTTGACATTTTTGGTATCATTACAGCAGCTTCTCGACGCCCTCCGCGTGGAAGATCTCGTCTTGGCTCCGAAACTAGTCATTGACAGCGACCTGCACTCCCAAATCAGTTGCTTTGCGTAGGGAAATTTTCCCCCAATCCTTCAAACTTTCGTAATTTAGCTTCATGTGACTTTCATTTGTTCTCGAGCGGAAAAACTTCCACGATGGAAGCGATTTTCAACCGATTCAGAGGTACAGATCGCTGTCAATGACTGGTTTCAGAGTTGAGGCGAAAGCTTCTACGCGGAAGGCATCAAGAAGCTGCAATGATGATACCAGAAATATCAAACAAGATGTGGAGACTATGTCAAAAAGTAAGGTAAGGCCTACTCAATAAAAAATTAAAATTTCTTGTTGATGTGATGTATAGAGGCGATAACCCAAGTCTTCTATAATCGACTCTCCGCGCATCCTGACCCCGGAGGTGAGCACGCGGCGACAGGAGGTTGTCTCAGTAAAATTGAGTTTACTCGCGAACCCCTTGACCGATTTTCAAAAACTTGAGCTTGTTTTAAAGCTTAGAGTATACCTAATATGTGCAGTTTTATCGATTTGATTTATCTCTTTTCGTTCGGAAGTTACAAGGTAGGGAAACTTACTTTTTGGATGACCCTCGTAGATCAAATTACAAGCAAAATTATTTACAAAATTGGCAGAAAAATATTTAAAAATTATCCTGAAAATTAGTGATTTGCCAGAGGAAATTTGGCAGCGCCTGGAGGTTCATACGACGTTTTTCCTTAGCACGGCAGTATTGGCAAAAGTATTCCTTACTTATGCGCCAAAGTTCAAACCGGAGTGGCAAATCTAGGTATCACGACCCCCCTTTTTATGCCGCCTGTGAAGTTGATATCTCGGCGTTTATGAAGTTCTCCGCGACGACTTGAAGTATTAAGAACTCCACTAAACTTCAAAGCCAGAGAAAGTCTAGTAACTCATCCGCGGTTTAAGCGTCTTTATGTAACGCCGCACTGTGAATCGAGTCAATATGAGAGGTCGGACGAGATTTGGTAACTTTGAAAGCTTATTTTTTCGATAATATGAAACAAAAAAGGTTTGATAGCATCTCCGTTGGTTTTTCCGTGAAATTTCCTTTCAGAAACACCCTTGGAAATTAAACGGAAACGAAACAAACACCAAAATTTGCAATTTTAGTCAAAAATTTCATGTCCGACCTCTCCAATTGACTCAATCCACTGTGCGCCGTTCTCACCTGATGCCTTTGAACGAGGAACATCTTTGAAGATGGAAATACTAGGAAAATCCCTCTCTTTGTGGTTGGAAGCCAAGCGTCGCACAGATGAGCAAGCCATCGGAAGAGAACAGACACGAGAGTTTTGATGGATTCTGGGAATTTGATGCTTATTTCGTCACGTTATAGATTTTAAGGGATGTTCCTCACAGGAAATTTAACTAGATTTCCAATTAAACCTTCATGTTCCTTCTTAACAAAGATGTGGAATTTTAAAGTTTCCACATTATGACCGACATCGACTTGTTCCTTTGTGTGCCGTTTCTTTACCACGAAATCTTCTTTTCAAAGCAGGATACCTCTTGATCTTTGAGCTCAGTCAGACTCAACTCTCAGCTTTCGGTGTCTGATCTTCAAAGAAACTGTCGCACAAGTCACGATCTTTATCAGTTGAATCACTTTCGCTAAGAGAATATACTTAGATCCG